TAAAATAAGCACATCACATCCGATAATCATCACATCTTGTATAAACGAGTATATCATATCGAGTGCTCATCGACATATGTTGACACATGAGTTCATGCAGAGATATTCTGACATGAACAGGACTGGGTGTATTACGATTTACACTCTAGAACTACAATCACATGAAGACTAGCGCTATGCGCTTCACATATGAGTCCTAATTGCATATACCAATCTAAGACATGACTGGCACCTACAATGGATCCAAAGTGAGCATACGGTGCGATGTGAACATACACGTGAAGCCTAGCCCTGGCCCGGGTGAGTACAAACACCAATGTAGCACACCTTGAGCATATAACGTAAATACGATCATTCAATGGTAAATCGATAATTCAATAATTCTAATCAGTGAAATATTATTCATGACCACAAATATAATTAAAGCATCCATACTAATACGCATACCTGTGCGTCCTGTAGGACGTAGTATAATTTCATGAGTTACGTCAATACGCGAATTTTTATATACGTTAACCTAATATGGGTATAACGTAGAAAATTTGTTATCAAATATGTAAATGGAAACTAAATAAATATATAATATTTAAAAGCAAAGACCCACTCATTGATACTTATGATGTAACATCCGTTCGAGCTAGGAAAGCTAAAGTCTCCGGTAGTAATAGCACCTAAGCATAATATTGGGTCTCGTCAGTAAAACTCAACTAAAATGATTAAATTTGGAAAAACAGAGTGCGGATTTGGAATCAGGGCGTCGAAATACGCTTAGAAGGGTCTTGGGCAAGTTTTGTAAAAAGTTAACAGAAAGTCAACGATCAACCCTAAAAGTCAACTGATCCGCCCCGGTGGTCAACTACATTAAAACTTCAGAATTTCACTAAATGGGTGTCAAAAACAGACTCCACGTCGTAATTAATCTAGGAGAGTTTCTGAGAAAATTTCAAAAAAGTCAATGCAAGGAATATTCCAAATCCATTAGAAAGTGGACGAGGCTGAATCCCAATTTAGGGTTAATAGGCCAGAAATTTAGGCCGGCCCATGGATCCGATTTTGGGCTTTTTTTTTTTTTTTTTTTTTTTTTTCTGCCGGTTGCCGCTGTAACATCCCACATCGCCCAGGGGACTGATCCTTAAATGTATATTCCCATCCTACCTAGCACGAGGCCTTTTGGGAGCTCACTGGCTTCGGGTTCCATAGGAACTCCGAAGTTAAGCGAGTAGCGCGCGAGAGCACTCCTAGGATGGGTGACCCATCGGGAAGTTCTCGTGTGAGTTCCCAGAAACAAAACTGTGAGGGCGTGGTCGGGGCCCAAAGCGGACAATATCGTGCTACGGTGGTGGATTGGGGCCGGGTTGTGGTGGGGGCCCGGGCCGGGATGTGACAATTTGGTATCAGAGCCTAACCCTGGCCGCGTGTGTGCCGACGAGGACGTCGGGCCCCTAAGGGGGGTGGATTGTAACATCCCACATCGCCCAGGGGACTGATCCTTAAATGTATATTCCCATCCTACCTAGCACGAGGCCTTTTGGGAGCTCACTGGCTTCGGGTTCCATAGGAACTCCGAAGTTAAGCGAGTAGCGCACGAGAGCACTCCCAGGATGGGTGACCCATCGGGAAGTTCTCGTGTGAGTTCCCAGAAACAAAACCGTGAGGGCGTGGTCGGGGCCCAAAGCGGACAATATCGTGCTACGGTGGTGGATCGGGCCCGGGTTGTGGTGGGGGCCCGGGCCGGGATGTGACAGCCGCTGCAATCGTCGAAACCTGTGAAAAAGAAAGCCAGAAACGCAGAGGATGGTCGAAAACTTCAGAGGCTTATAACGGGACCAAAACTCAACCATTTTCAAACATTTAAAAGCCAAAGTAAAGCTTAGGAGGTATGAATCAAAGTATACCAATCTTGGGCTGAGTCATGGCCAGAAGATGGCAGGAAAACCCCTGCAACCTCACGGGTCCTTGGTCAAAAACTGGGGAATGTTTTCCCCGAGTGGTTTCTGCATCCAACAACACCAAATTGTCTCAAAAACAACCTAATCGTACTCTTAAACACAATTTACAAATTTTTTTTGGAAGGTTTCAGGCCTTACCTTCGCCGGATTAAGTTTTTGCACACTGATAGTACTATGCAGTGAGGGAGAGAGGGAAAACAAGAGATCTCGGCCTCATCTGGGTTCGTGATGGGAAGAATCTAAGGGTGATGGTGCTCCCTGGGGTAAGACGCCAGTGATGGTAGCGGTGCTGCAGCAGCACAAAGAGGAGAGAGAGGACTCAGGGAGTTTTTGAGAGAGAGAAAGAGCGAAAGAGAGTTGAGAGAGTTAGAGAGAGTTAGAGAGAGAGAGTCCAAGAGGTGGAAGAGAGGAAACGGGGCAAGAAGAAAGTGGAGAGTTTGGGATTTGTGGGCCCCACGGCCAAATATAAATTATTAAAATATCCCACCAATTAATATTAAAGTGGAGAGTTAGTAATTTTTTACAAAAGTATTTTTTCGTTTCTTAGTTCCTTAAAATTCTCGTCGTAATTCCAAATTCAATTTTGTTTGTGCCTACGTGTTCGTACCGTTAAGTACTTTGAGAATATGGTAAATTAAAAGCTCATATGTGTCACATAATGAAGGTCAACGAAAATCAACAATCTCGCCACTATTGGCATTTTCGTCAATTCACTCTTTTAGAATTTATAAAATCGTAAAATTAGAGACGGGTTGTTACACCCCATATGTAATATATTAGCCTTTTCTTTATTAGTAGTCAAGCATTTTACATCTACATCTACGTATTAGTTTAAGACAAGATGTCATATATGATAAATGCTCTTAACTGTGAATACATAAGAGTTTTATAGTTCGAGTGATTGAAAATAATATTCATGCACACCACGTTAAGTATTCAATTCCCCATCTTCATTATCATTTGTATTCAAGATGAAATAGTTAACAATTTATTCCAAAACACACCTCTAATTTTTCAACAACCAGAATCTCATTTCAAAAATGTAAAAGTAACACTATCATTCGTTATCCATATGAAAATCGACGATAAACTTCAAGTATAGTCATTTCAAAACTTATAAATCAATCATATAATATGAAGTGAGATGGGTAATATGTGCATGAGCAAATTGGGGCTCAAAATTAAGTTGGGTTTGGGTTGACATGAACGGGCAAGACATCAACCCAACCCAACCCAACCCAATAAATGATTGGGTTGAGGGCGGGTTGGGTTTAGGCAGATTTTGTCTTCATTTTAACTAACCAAATCGGTTTTGAAATAGGGTTGAGCATGGGCGGATTTGGGTTGACCCAACCTAAGTTGCATGTGGGGAAGTGGGTTGAGCCTCGCAACGGATTAGCAATAATGTGGTTCAAATTCGCATTTAGCGAGAATCAAACCTAAACGTTTCACTTACCAGTGAAGAAGAATTCTCTGATCGTACTAAGTAACTGGTGTGTGTTATATTTGCAATAAATTTTTATGCCAAATCGCTCACAATGTTATTTTGTACGAGTATCTATCAAATATAGCAAAAATTTATGAGCTCATGGAATATTTTCTCTGCATACCAGTAATTGCAAAAAATTTCATATGCAAATGGGATTTTTTCTATTCTTTTTATTTATTTCATGTTCTTTTTCATTTTTAGGGTTTTGATTATTTTTATACATCTCAATTCAATAAGTGGAAATAATGAAAAGAGATTGAGCCAATCAACTTGTCTAGTTCCTTTATTGATTGATGAACACCTACAACTGTATATTCTTGCATAATAATCAATTGATGTGTTTTCTAAAAATTTCATAGACGTGCAACTTCTGCATATTTTTAAGATAGAACTTCATGTCTTCGTTTGGATGGAAATCTCTAGTACATGGTTCCATGGTATTATGCATATATAATATTAAATTTTTTTAATAAACGATATTATCTACGTTAAAATGAGGGAGGGTTGGCTTTGCCTCACAATGGGCTAGTAAGAATGTGGTTCAAATTTGTCTTCGACGAGAATCAAACCTAAGACCTCACTTGCAAGTGAAGAGAAATACCCTAATATTAATTTAGGTAACATACTTTTGTATCGATCTAATTGTTGTTTTGATTGCTCCCATAAATTCAAATAAATCAATTTCTACTTCATTTTTATACTTATAATGCATTACAGTTTTACAATGGTGCAGTTGACATACATTCATGGTGTTCGGCTTGTTCGACAAAGCTTGCAATATCCCCGTTTGCCACTCCACTCCTCCTGAACAATGATTATGAATAATTTAGGCCTTATTGGATTACTAGTCTATGTGGTGATAGAGTAGTTGGAAGATAGTTTATATGGTAAGAAAACTAGAATTTAAGCCGCTGTGGTGAAATCTTTTGGGATTTATGCCCAAAATTAATATTCGATCAACTATTCACTAATTATTAGCATCTAAGCCACACATATTAGGCTAACATGGAACTCTCTGCTAACTATTAGCACGTAGGACTTACATGTAAGACTAACTTTGTCTTTGTAGTCTCACATGTGAGCCTCATATGCTAACAATTAACGGAGAACTAACAAAATTTTCAATTTAGGTTTAAATCCTAAAAGAATTCATTACAAGAGCTTAAATCTTAATTTTTTGGGAATTGTTATTATCACTCCAAAAATCTCATTTGGCACTCCAAACTTTCTATAATTAGAAAGAAAAATACACTTGTGAGGAGTGTAGAATAAGATTTTTAGAGTGCTAATAACAATTCCCAATTTTTTAACCATGTGAACTATCTTACAATTGCTCTATTACGATGAGACTATTAATCCAATTAAGCCTAAAATATAAAAGACTGGTGACTTTTAGTTGTAATTAGGTTTTAATTTTGAGGACAATTGGGTATTTTTATTTTTATTTTTTTGGAAAAAATTTTGACTGCAGCAAAGCCACGGACAGGGCAATTGGGCATAATCAAGTAGAATTTTGATACATTTGAAAAACTTTATAAAAACCGATATTTATGAATTTAAATGCTTTGGTTGTCGATGATAAAAACTCATCTGGTGCCGCTTCAAAACTAAATATTCTGTCCGTCCTTCAATGGAAGCTCAGCGTCTGCTTTCTGGGTTTTGCTCAACATCGCCGATTCCAAATGCCAAAACCCAATTCTTCGCCAAATTTCCCTCCCCTTCTTCTTCCACCACTTCTTTTGCTCAATCCCATAAATGGGTCTTCTTCAAAGCTCGCCCTTTGTCTACCAAGTTAATAAAGTGCACGAACACCACACACACAGAGACAGCTGAGGTGGTGGTTTCTTCGGATTCATACAGTCAAGATTCGATAAGTGGGATTCCGCGGAAAAAGCTTGCGGTTTTTGTCTCCGGCGGTGGCTCCAATTTCCGGTCAATCCATGAAGCGTGTCTTAACGGTTCGATTCTCGGAGACGTCGTCGTTTTGGTCGCAAGTAAACAAGGTATCCTCCGCTCTCAAGTGCTTTTGTCATTGTCAATCAATCCAGTTTGCTTTTCTTACTGGATAATCATGGTATTTCCCTTTTATGCAACTGCTCGATCTTAACATTTGTTGTTATTGCTTGCTCTAATTTTTGTTTTGTGACCTCAAATTCTGATCTCGGTTTTGTTTTTGTTGGGAAAAATTGTGCATAGATTGAATGAAAAAGTTTTCGTAGTCACATGTATTAGCATCCTTTCGATGCCAGCATTGATGTTGGACATAGATGATGCATTTCTGATTGTGTTTGGAACAAAATGTTAAAAGTGTTTGGTGCTTTTCTTGGAAGCACTTAGCTTGTGAATGAAAATGTCTTATGCTTCTCACAAAAGCACTTATGAGCAGGAGTGCCTCCTGCAAATGCTTTTCTGAATCAGAGCCCTTAGACTTGCTCTGAAGGCTTGTTTCATAATGGTATATATTGGTACTTGGGGTTTCTTCTGCTAATGATAGAGTGGTAAAAATAGAAAGCAAGTTAGGAGCTTTAAAGATATATTATAGAAATCTTTGATGGGAATATTGTATATCCATTCATGTGTACGGTATGTTATTTTGCTTGTCAGGTTGCGGAGGTGCTGACTATGCAAGAGATATGAGCCTCCCGGTTATTGTGTTCCCCAAAACTAAACTTGAGCCCGATGGAATATCTCCGGCTGACCTTGTTGCTACCCTTAGGTCAGGCTCTTCGACAGCTCAAAACTTTTGTATCTAAGTTTCTCTCTCACTTGGGTATTTAGAATGCCGAATCATCTACTTATACTTAAGATGGCAGAAGAAGTCTGCCTAACTGTATTGATATTTTATTTTAACATGAGAACAAGTATGGTACTTGTTTGATTAAATGCCTCAAAGGGGAGGCTGAGGCAAGCACAAATATTATTGGCGTCCAATTTTTAAATAGGTTAACCCGCTTGTTTTAATGAATTTATACTTCCAATTTTACTCATGGCAAATTGAAAATCAAGGACACAACGCATATTATGTTATTTACATTACTTATCAGCCTCTGTGCATTTTGGTTGATTTTGAATAACGAACGTGAGTTTTATTCACTATAAACAATCTGTAGGACCATAGTTAAAATTACATGCTTATTCTCTGGTGTTTCACTAGCCTAGGGACATAGCCCAACTTGAGCTGTTGCTAGCGTGGCATGAATTATCTATGAGCAGTCTTTTAAGCATCGTTTTATTGCTAATTAGCTTTTGATTGTTGATATGATCAGGGGATTGGAGGTTGACTTTGTCCTCCTGGCTGGTTACTTGAAACTTATACCGGTAGAGTTGATACGAGCGTATCCCAGATCCATACTGAACATCCATCCGTCACTCCTACCAGCATTTGGAGGCAAAGGTAATTACGGTATGAAGGTCCACAAAGCAGTCATTGCTTCTGGGGCAAGGTATGCATCTTTCACCGACATCCGATTGGCTTTTGAATCAACCTTCACTCATTTGAGTTACATTGCTGTTTGCATGTACGAGGAGAAGTTCTAATATTAGGTATTTCATTTTCATCAGATACTCAGGCCCTACAATACATTTTGTTGACGAGCACTATGATACAGGACGTATCCTTGCTCAAAGAGTTGTCCCTGTGCTTGCTAAGGACACTGCCGAGGAGCTGGCAGCAAGGGTTCTTAGGGAGGTAATGCAATTTTTTTGTCTTGTTGAACCACTGATTGAATCCAAAGAAGCTTTTCTCCGTCTGTTTGATTTTGGATATTGACCTCTTTCAAATGCTAGAATCATAACGTCTGCGCATTCTATTCAATTAAATTTCTAATTTGGCTTCATTATTGATTTTAGGAGCACGCCTTATATGTGGAAGTAACAAAAGCGTTATGTGAAGAACGGATAATTTGGAGGGAGGACGGTGTTCCTATCATCCGAAGCAAAGAAAATCCCGCTGAATACAGCTAGAGGAACCAAAGGTTTTCAGTTTTGAAGAGGCTTTGTCCAGTTTATATACACTACTACCTGTTACTTGGATGCATTGCATTTCATATGCTCACAAAGAAAAAAAAAAAAAAAAAAAAAGGAGAGAGAGAGAGAGAGAGAGAGAGAGAGAGAATGGTAGCAGAAAAAAAGGTGCCAAACTTAGACTGGCATGATTTCTATTCATTGTGTACGAGTAAATATAGTCAGCGCTTGATTCCTGTTAAACTGCAGGCCATCATTTTGTAGAATGGCGCGACGTGTATCGTATGTTTCTTTTTATTATCTAGATGGTTTGAGTGTATCGTACAATGGGATGTTAATTTAAAAGAAGAAGAAAAAAGAACATATCAGAGAGTTAAGTGGCAAACTCTCAAAGTTGGACGTACCACATTTCAGAATTTTCAGCTTTCTTTGCTTGTGTTGCTTTCTCAGTTAATGAGACCCAACTGAATTCATGATACATTATTGTTGACCCTAAAAACTACTAAGCTTACGTGGTGTGCATACCGAATAATTAATAAGCTAACTACGTTCTTCGGTTGATGCGGGGCATGCCAACTCGACGGCCGAGCTCGGTCGGGGAGTAAAATGTGCTGATATTGAGCGCTGCTGACTTCTTGATCTCACGATTGCGGCCGAGGAAGGACCACATTTTGGCCTTCAGGTTCTAGATCTTGAAGACAAGGTTGCTAGTTCTGTAAAGTTCAATATGAAATTTGGCTTTCAATGTGCCGAATGTAATAACTTGTAACACCTTACTTCGCCGAGAAGGTTAATGAGATGACCTCTGCCAATAAAGATTTGATTCTTGACCGAGACTTGGATAGATAAACAGTCAGCCTCGACGCAGTGCTGTTTATCCAAACTGAAGGTGCTTCGTAGTTAGCTGATTCTACGGCAACAGTGCTGTTTATCCAAACTGAAGATGTTTGCCGGTTGCCTTCACAGTGTTGTTTATCCAAACTGAAGATGTGTCGGCGAAAAAAGAAAATTAAAATCTCAAGGTTGTTGAAAGGTTTCGCGTTGAGCGAAAGTTTGCGCAGGGCAGTTTGTATGTTGAATTGGAAGGATTAGAATGATACACCCCCTTCTTATTTATAGAAGCAAATCTCGTCATGGCCGAAACCAGAATTATACTCGGATTAGGATTCTTTATCCTAATTTATCCAAGTCTCGGCCAATCCTACCTCCATTAGAACTTTGAACCAAACTCTTTATTCGGCCACATTTACTTCTCAAATCTCAGCATCGTCATCCCATTGAGACTTCTTGTTATACTAGGATTCGACTTTCCCATCAATCCGTCTCATACTAGGACTCGCCCGATCCTAACCGAGCGGCCCATAATAACTAGAATTCGCGATAATTCTAGAATCATATTGCCGGCCCAAAAACAACTCCTAACTCGGCCCACACTAATATTTTGGACCCAAACTAAGGGCCGTATATTTTCGCTTGCAGTTGACATCCCAAGGAGCGTATAGTGGTGGTGATACAGCAGAGGTATGAAGATTTTTTTTGCTATTCTCATTTGCTCATCCAATTGTTCCCTCATATTGGTCTTCAACTCTTTGTTTTCAATATTTTTGAAGTTAATCTTTAGATTTTTCTCAAGCCAAGTGTTTTTAGATATTATTATATCTGGAATTTATATGTTAAAAGGAAATTGAACTAAGATCAGAGGATTCTAAGTGAACTTATAACGAGAGAGAATGAAAAGTAGAAATTTTTCTTCTTGTTTTTTTTTTATTTCTTGTTGTTCGGTATATAATTGTAAGCTCCATGGTTGTATTGACAACCCTCTCTTTTCCCAAGAATCCAACGTAATCTTGTAGCATCACCCAAATGTTGCAGTATCTGAATTCATGTATACATGTTTTCCAATATATGTCCTTGTTCTCTGAATGTCAAAAATGTCTTGAGACTGGTGAGTCTTCTTTTGTGATAAGGTATCTGGTAAGTGAAAGAGTTATGGTTTCTTTCTCTTCAAAACCGGTTTTCTAGAAGGTGGTTTTTGACACTCCTGTATGTAATGTTACGAATGGACTAAATTGCCCTTTTAAAGACTTTCCCCAAAATTTACCAGTTCTGTTTCAGCCGAGAACACTTGAAATCGAAGAGACTGGGTGCAACCTCCTTCACGTACATCTCGAGCAACTCAGCGCGCGAACTTCGAACAGCCGGATGCGAGCCTCTCCGACGACGGAAACCCTGCAGATGCGCGCCTCGACGCCGCCTCCGCTCCGTCGCTTCCAAAGCTGGTAACTTTTTCATACCCCTCCATATCTGCCTGGTATTATCTAGGAATATCGTTTAAGCTGATCTTTGTCGTTCCTCTTCGGGTCGTATCCAAATGCGTACGCTTTATCTGCTGGACTTGTAAATTGGGTCCTCAAGTAAAAATGTTTTCGGTGGCTTCTATTTGTCCAAGTTTTGATTTTGTTGGTCGAAGTTTTCCAATAGTTTCAATTTGGTCCATGTGGTTTTAGTTCACTGATTTTCGCAATTCTACGTTAGCGTAGCAGCTTAATTCTGCTATTTGGTTCGATAAATTTGACGAAAGTAAGTCATTTTTATTTGAATTGCAACAACTAGTAAACTAAGGGGATCAATGGCAAAAACTGAAACTTTACTGATAAGAAATTGGTCGTGTTTTCTGCCCTTCATTAGTCATTACTGGCAAGAGCATTTTTCCGATTCTCAGATGAAAATATCAATTATCTTTTTAATGCTTTGCATACGACCATAGTAGTCATATAAATGCGGTTAGTTGGTATGGACCAGTTCATAAACGGATAAATTTCCTCGTCAGATGTATAATTGGTACAAATTATCAAGGGACGAATATTTTTCTGTTATATCCTTAAACTTTGTTAGCATAGTGTTTTCGACCCACCACTATGAGTGATGCATTATGGATTAAACAAGTCCAGAGGCCTTTTTTTCATGTTTTGATGGAGATTTATTATTTTGCCAAACCCATAGTTGAGGTTATAGCTGATGCCATTTTCTATTCTTAGTTTCTTACTCCAATACTGCGTTCTTTTCTTTAATTTTAGGAAATCTCGTAGAAGTCTCTGAGGCAGTTAAGCCTAATATCTCTAATGATGGAGATACTGCCAGCTCAACCCTTGAAGCATCTATATCATCTCTCACGCTTACTAGTTCGTCATGTCTCAACCCAAGAAAGTCTTTCCAAGAAAGTTATTCTTTGTCCTGACCCCTCCTTGCAACAATCTTACATGGAATTGTCACAGACATTCTACGAAGCTATGAAAACTTGTGCATCTCTCAAGTCGATACCCATTGCCAGACAACTCCATGGCCAACTCATTTCTATAGGCTTGGACTCTGCTATTTTCCTCCAGAACCATCTCTTGCATATGTACTCCCAGTGTAGCCTGGTAGATGATGCTTGTCGGGTTTTTGATAGTATTCAACAACCTAATGTTTTTAGTTGGAATACAATGATCAGTGGCTTGGTAGATTCGCATCGGATGATGGAAGCAGAGAAGTTGTTCGAAGAAATGCCCATGAGAGATTCTGTGTCTTGGACTACAATGATGTCTGGGCATTTTAACAATGGACAACCAGCAAAGACCATTAAAGTGTTTGCTTCAATGGTTCGGAACTGTGATAGTTTTTCCGACCCATTTTCCTTCTCTTGCGTAATGAAGGCTTGTGGTAGTCTTGGCTACATCAAATTGGCTCGTCAATTGCATAGTCTTGTGGAGAGGTTAGATTTTGCAAACAACATGGCGATTCAAAATTCGATTATTGATATGTACATTAAGTGTGGTGCGTTGAGCTCTGCTGAGAAAATGTTTTGGAGGATCCCATATCCGAGTTTGTTTTGTTGGAACAGTATGGTCTATGGTTACTCGAAACTTTATGGGGTTGGAAGGGCTCTTCATTTGTTTGTTCAAATGCCTGAACGTGACTGTGTGTCTTGGAACACCATGATTTCAATCTTGTCTCAACATGGTTTTGCAGTTGAGAGTCTCAGTATGTTTGTTGAGATGTGGAACCAAGGTTCTAGACCAAATTCTTTGATATATGCCACAGCACTTAGTGCATGTGCAAGCATACATGATCTTGAATGGGGTACCCATTTGCATGCTCGTATCATCCGTATGGAACCAATTCTTGATGTTTTTGCAGGTAGTGGGCTGATTGATATGTATGTCAAATGTGGACACTTGCATTTTGCAAGGCAGGTGTTTAACACCATGACAGAACGCAATGCAGTTTCTTGGACTTCTTTGATCAGTGGAATTGTGCAGTCTGGGCTTGAAGACGAAGCTTTATTGCTGTTTAACCAAATGAGAAAGGCTCCTATTTCCTTGGATGAGTTTATTCTTGCAACAGTCCTTGGGGTTTGTTCAGGCCAAAAGCATGTTTTAGTTGGGGAACAGCTCCATGGATATACAATCAAGGCTGGGATGACCTCTTCTACTCCTGTGGGGAATTCTCTTGTCACAATGTACACAAAGTGCGAAAATACTCATAGTGCAAACCAGGCATTCAAGCTGATGCCAGTTAAAGATATAATATCATGGACAGCAATGATCACGACATTCTCTCAAATTGGTAATGTTGAAAAAGCTCGAGAATATTTTGATAAAATGCCAGAGAGGAATGTCATAACTTGGAATTCAATGTTAGCAACATATTTCCAAAATGGTTTTTGGGAAGAAGGCCTAAAATTGTATATTCTAATGCGAAGGTTGGAGGTTAAACCTGATTGGGTCACCTTAGTAACTTCAATCAGTGCCTGTTCTGATTTAGCAGTATTAAAACTTGGGGTTCAAGTTATAGCTCAAGCTGAAAAACTAGGGTTTATCTCTAATGTTTCAGTCAAAAATAGCATTATTACTTTGTATTCAAGATGTGGGAGAATTGAAGAAGCGAAAAGAGTTTTTGATTCAATTTCTGATAAAAATTTGATTACGTGGAATGCGATTATGGCAGGATATGCTCAAAATGGTGAAGGTAGGAAAGTGATTGATGTTTTTGAGAATATGTTGAAAACGGATTGTGAACCTGATCATATAAGTTTTGTATCGGTTCTATCAGGTTGTAGCCATTCGGGGCTTGTAAAAGAGGGGAAACACTACTTCACTTCCATGACTGAAGAATTTGGCATCTATCCAACATGTGAGCATTTTGCTTGTATGGTAGACCTACTTGGTCGGGCTGGGTTATTAGAGGACGCCAAGAAATTGATAGATGAAATGCCCTTTAAGCCAAATGCTGCCATATGGGGGGCCTTGCTTGGCGCTTGTCGGGTTCATCGCGATTCAAAGTTAGCAGAAGTTGCAGTGAAAAATTTGATTGATTTAGATATAGATGATTCTGGGAGTTATGTCCTTCTAGCTAATACATATTCTGACTGTGGACAATTAGAAGCTTTTGCAGATGTTAGAAAGGAGATGAGAAAGAAGGGCATTGAGAAAAAACCCGGTTGTAGCTGGATAGACGTTGATAATAGGGTACATGTGTTCACTGTAGACCACACTAATCATCCGCAAATAAAGGATATTTATAGAATACTGAATGAGATTGTTAAGAACATAGGAGATACAAGTTGCTCTGTGAATCCACTTAGCTCACTATTTTATCAGGATAATCACATTGAAAAACTTGATGTTGCTGTTGGGATTGTTTGATGCCTATCTACATGATGAAAAACCTTCAAGTTTTCCTTGATTGCCACATGGTAACGAAGCTGATTTCCCTTTCTACCTCAAGGGCACTTATAATGCAGGGTAGATACCGGTTTCATAGTTGCAAGGTTGGAATTTGCTTCTGTGGTGATTACTGGTGATCTCTGGTATGTAATAGATTCTCCTACTATTGTGTTCTCCATTCCTTGCTGCTGCTGTTATCACTATTTGTTTGAGGAAGACTACTTTTTTGAGTATATCTGTTACTCTGATAGATTCCTAAACTCTAAAAATGTGCATGTGTAGACACACCGGTACATGACCAATGGGCACTAACACAAAATTGATGACAGATATTTCTTGCTAGTTACTAGTTAGATGTCATTAGATGTCTTTAGGAATGTGCATCCTTTGTTGACAGTTGCTATTATTAGTTGTGGCAGCCCATGATGCATGCAAAATTGAAATGGCAAGATGTTGGATGTAGGGAGGGTTGCTGTCTATTTATTTATTGTTTTTTGCTTCTGTTGAAAAAGAAAGAGATTTGTTGAACTTATGTTGTAATTGGATATGCGGATTTGAAATGAAAGATTGGGATTATTTTTAGTGTAGATTGCTTAACAAGACTTTGAAATATAAATCTTTAATGTTAATAAGATCCACGTGTAATTTGAGTCTTGACTATTTGAGCAATTTCCAATTCAAGGGGAAAGTATAATTTCAAATTCTCTCTGAATTTCTTAAATATGGAAACTTCTTTTTCTTTGCGATGTTTTATTTTGACATTGATGCAAGCAATTTAAACTGAGTAATCCAAGGTCCCATTTTAAATCCAATTTTCCAAAGCAGCCTTAATGTTCAAACAAAAGTAAAAAAAAAATCCAATTTAGTTTCTAGGCAGGATTGACATGGCTCTGATTGTTCTTTCTTCATTCCTTTGTTGAACTTATGATCATTCCAAACCCTTGTTGCTTTGTTTTCGTGGTTTCGATTTTTCTTCGCTATGTTTTATCTGCTGTTTGGGACAATAACTGTTTAATTGCAAGCAGAAAACTAGATGCTCCGTTGCTATCCCACCCCACACCAGAAAGATAAACAAAACAAAATAGGTTTTTTTGTTTAATTTTTGAATTTCCTGTCTCTTATTTTTTAGAGTTTGGTAAAGGTAGATAATTAGAACAGGAAGGTATCTTAACAGAACTGTTCATATTAATTATTCCTTCTAGAACAAGACAGGGTTTTCCTCTTAGGAATTCTGGAAAATAAAGTGGCCCTCTATCAGATTTTAGTTTTCCATGAATGCTGGTTTTAATATTTACTTCTTCGAATGCATAGATGGTTTTAAATCTGCTTCTTTGACTCCTTTAGTCCTCTGTATGCATTAAAGTACATTGCAACACTCTTCATTTAGAACTGATTTATAAGGAATACCAGGTAAAAGTTCACCGTGCCTCTACTAGTTTAAGATTGCAGAAATCCACGTTGCGGTGCTAGGTGATGCAATTTTGAATAATTAGTTGGGCGTTTCATGCTCGCAGTTCTGTTCCACCTTCATGTGATGCACATGGACACCGAAATCATCGTAATACCTGTGATTTGCTTGTGATATGGATGATGAATTCAGATTTTCTATTGAAGATTTTAAAAGGTCTCATTACATGGTAATTTCTCTCGGTATAGCGGTAAATGCTGTTGAATCGTTATTATTCTCATTTTTATGGTTGTTATCAACGGTTCAGATGTTTAAGAGGTAGCAATGAACTCACAGTAAAAGTGTTTTTACGTTTTTGTAGGGAGCAAAACCAAGTTTGGATGTGATGAAGGATACCGGCCTTGGTCACTAAACTCGCCAAAACGAGTGAAATTACAATGCTAGCCTTTATCTACCGGACCTTGGGTTCAAAACGAGAAGCGGAAAATGGCGGATTGTAGTTTGGATGAACAAAAGACTTGAAGCAAATGCAAGCTGCTACAACAAGAGGACTACATTTGTCTGCTGGGTCCATGATTGGCTGTAAATTGGTAAAAGCAAGCCCGCGGGAGGAGCAGAAAGGGGCTGTATAGCTATTTTAGAAAGTAACATGTATTGGTTGTTTTTGAGAAAACCGACATTGATATTCCAAAAATCTCACTGGCGTAAAAGAACCTCACCCTAAATGACTCCATGATATATATATTTTTTTCAAAAATTTTGGGATCAAATCAGTTCTTTTGTTATCAATGTAGTTAAGATTCTTAAGTAACCATACAACATTGCCCTAATTTCAAGGGTAGAAATCTTAAAATTTCGAATTAAGTAATTCCCGAAATAAAAGTTTTCATTGGATAAACGAAATTTAAAGAATAACAAGTTAAAGTTTTTATTTTTTGAAATAGAATGATATTTTTATACTAAGTTAAAGTGTTTATTGGATAAATGTATTCCGAAGAAAGTGCTTTTGCTCCGGGTAGGACCAGTGACCTGTAAAAAGTAACGATAAGGATAAACTTACTATTCGGAGACATTAGAATTTTAGACAAATGGGGATTTGTGAAAAAAGTTTGGTACATCAGGGGTTGTTTTTGTAGTTCTCAAAACCCAGCAGGTCTTTTCTGAAAACATGAGAAACCTCGGGGTGTTAGTGCCATTAAGCACTTTTTAAAACCACAGTTTGCAATAACTTCCGAGACAGAGAGAGAGTTGTCTCTCTTTTTCCTCCGGATTTTGCCCCTTATCCTCGTTTTGCCGAAGCTTGTTGTCGGGTTAGTGAACTGATTTAATTTTTCTTCTTCAACTCCGAATTCAGTTTTGGTTCCGGTTAATTTCGGTTAATTGTAGTTTGCTGTAATTATTTTGGTTGATTCCGATTGAATTCCAACTTGAATGCCCATAGCTGGATTAGGTATATTCTGTGCTAGTTTCTGTTGTTTTTGATCCTTGGATTGTTCCGGGCGAGAGGATGTCGAGTCGGCTGAGGCTTGTTCATCTTGGAGCTCGTTTTTAAGTGCTTTTAAAATGACTGAATACGCTTTTAGTAAAAATACTTTTTAAACCAATCCTCAATACAAATTCAAATAGATTCTGAAAAAGCATTTTAAGTATTTCCTGCAAGAAGCACATATTTGATGCTTATTCCGAAAATCATTTTTTGGAACTCAAAATATTTTACCGAAAATGCTTTCAATTATTTTAAAAGTACTTCCAAACGAACCATTGTTTTATACATTGAATATATCCATTGATCAAATTTTATTGTGAACAATTGTATCTCAAGGGAGAGTGCACTCATATACTCGGAGTTTCATGAACGAAAACATTTTTTTGCTTTGCTTGTGCAATGGAAGTTTCATTCAATAATTATCTGGTTATCCACGCTTTGCTTATTTGTTGAACTCAATCCGCAGAAGTGTATCTACCAAGCAAGTTATTGTCCTTGCATTGCGATAATTAGTGAACTAACAAGAGTTCAACAACAACAACAAAACCTTATTCCACTAAGTGGGGTTGGCTGTATGAATTCTAGAACGTCACTGCGCTTAGTTTTGCATCAAGTGTTCTATAAGCTCCAAGTACCCCATTTCTTTTCTTAAAGTCTCCTTCCAAGGCTTCCTCTACCCTTTTTCCGTGAGCCTCTGCCACATAATTGCATTTTCTAATGTGTAGGTCTTCAGTTCACATGCCCAGCACCTTAACTAATTTTCTCTGATCTTATCTTCAATTACAGCCACTCCTACTTTACCTCAGATATCCTAGTTCTTAATCCTATTCTTTCAAAACTTAGCCCAAACTGTGGAGACAAAATCATAATTTGGCCTTTGTTGTATAAAACTCTTGTATACTCATACGGTTCAGTTTTCTTCTTACTGCAATCAGGAGAGCTTTTATTAGCATTGCTTTAGAGTTTTTTTGCTCTTAATGGGCCGCTACTTTATTCTTGGGTCGGACTTTTGCTTCTTCTTCTTCTAAATTTCTAACTCGGCTCATCTTCTACCTCCTTAAATTTGTAGTTCCTTCTTTTAACTACTCAATTTCACACTATAAATTTCTGATTTTCAAGAATTTACTAGAGATTTAGGATTGAGAAAATGAGGGATTTGTTATTGTTGTGTTTTATTTCAGATAATCTTCTTGGAGGACTTGGAATTTGACATCTTTCAGTTCTAGAGGTGAATCGCAACGGCAGGTACGTTTCTTTTAATTTACCCTTTTAATGAAAGCTTGGGGGGATTTAGTATCAAAATAGTTGTTGGCAATTGGTATCTTGCAATTCTGAATGTTGTTGTATGTCGGTTGTTGATAGTGATTCTTTTGATAAAATCCTTTCACTAATGAAATTTGGCTTCAAAGTTCATCCCACCCAAGTTCTGTTTCTTGGGTCCATGCCTGGGCATAGTAGACTAGTAGTTATGTAGAATGAAATCATCATGCAATCTCTGAGCAGCTGGCCTTTATCTGCACACTTAGTTTGTGATGATAGTTGGAGTAATCAGCTACAGTAATATGGAACTAAATGTTAGTATATGTATTTAATCGAAGTCTTTTGTGAGAGTTACAGAAGATTCATATATCAGTGCTTGGTCAGTGATTCAAACACTACTGGGGCTGACAACCGTCTTGCATGAGTATCATAACGTCAACTTAGTTGGCTTCTTTATTTTCTAATACGACTAGCATTTAACAGTATGCTTTAGTCAGTTGTGGTTGAGAAATCTGAATGAGTATTATAATATGGGGTGTGATATCCACATACCCCTTTTTACACACACCCCTTATTAATTCCCATCCTTTGATTTTCTTCAATCCATTCGATCCGATAGCCGGAAATTAAAAGGGTGTGTGAGAAGTAAAAAGGGGTGTTTGAATAGCACGCCCCTATAATATTAACTTAGCCCCTGATCATGAGCAAGAGCTTTTCTCTGATTCTCAGATGAAAATACCAATTTTCTTTCTAATGTTTTGCATCAATAGTAAATAGTAATTTCCTAGGACCACAGTAGTCATATAATTACTGACTGTTGGTACAGACCTGTAACGTGGGGCATTCAGTCGGAAGTCTATAAATGCTGGTGTCTTCTTTCAAACATACCATTGGCAATTTTTTCAAGCTTATACTGAATATGTTGTGTAATTGGTCGTATGACTCGTATCATTGTAATTTGTTGGGGTTGTGTTTCCGAGCTTTGATGATATAGATACCTGAACGTATATTTTATCACTTTCTTTGTTTCGCTGGAAAAGTAATACCAAAATTTCACTGGGAAGTCTATGAATTGTACGCTGAAAGTTCTATTAAGATCCTTGCATGTGAATTTGGACAATATTTTTCCTGTATTGATTCTGCAAGCTGTTTACGGTATTTGAAAAATGGCTGACTGTTTAAGAAAGAGTAGCGCAAACTCTTAAGAATTAAACATTTCCATGTTTTGTCGGATACTTCTGATTTTGCCAGTCCTTTGAATGTTTTAGCGATTTAACCAACTTTTAGATGTAAGTTATAACAACATACGAGCCAGTGCTGCTTTTCAGATGCTTGCTCCTTCCAAAGAACGCCGCTTTTAAGTGATTAATTTATGTGCCGCCAATTAACTTCATTTTCTTAAGCTGGCCAGGTTCTCCAGCATGGGAAACAAGCCTGCGAAGCAAGAAAGGGAAGAGGTATTGTTGAAAGTTGTTCCTCCATTGGACCGTGCATATGTTAGGTGGCTTGCTCGCGATCTTGAGAGGACTCATGGCTTTACACCAGTGAACCCTCGTGCGGTGAAGCCGCCAGAACATTATATTGAGTACATGCATTTGAATGGCTGGTTGGATGTAGACCTGGGCGATCCTGATCTAGCCCATTTATTCAAGTAGATAGCGATGGCGATGCACTCAAAACCAGATTTGAGAAGAAGAAAAAGAGTGGCATTTCTACCAGTATAGCAGTGATTGGATTGTGATTTGAGTACATATCTGGCCCTCCAATTTGATGTAACATTTCAAATTTTGGATTCAAATGGGGCTTCTTGTATCGAATGGCTTATTTCACTTTTGCTCTGGAATCCACATTTTGCCACTTAACACCTTGAAACTCGATTTTGTTTCACTTTTGTTTATTTCGTTAAATTATTGTTAACTTGCCGACGTGGCCATGATGGTGACTACCGATAGGCATGTCAATTGATTGAATTTTGATATGAATCGATGAAATTAATAGGGTACGAATTGAGACTTTTAATCCAATTATTCGAATTAGATTCGAATCTGATAATCCAAGTTAAAATGAATGTCGATATGGTTCAAGGTTGATCCGATCCAACTTAATATGACCTAACATTTAATTTTTATGTTATTTTAAAAATATTTTAATGTTGTAGGTCTATTTGACTAAACTGTATTTAGGATAGAGAAGGAGAAGGGTCGGCGGCAACAGAGAGAAGAAAGAGATGTAATTCTGAGGTGTGTGTTGTATCAACCCTTTGTGCCTTTATTTATAATAGTAGGGAAGGTTAAATCATTATCCTATCAGAATTACAACTCTAATAGAAATTTAACTACTAAAGGGAATATACAAAAGCACTCCTAGATACACTAGGATTTACACAATCACATTTCTAATCCATAGGACTGCAACACTCCCCCTTGAGTGTGTAAATACTCAAATAAGACATCGCATCAGATCTTCAGCAGATAAGGTAGAATAGTTGATGAAGTTGTTGGCACAACTGGTGAATGCGAGTCTCAAATTTAAAAGAAAGTATGCATTGGTAGTAAAACTCACAAAACCTTGCTATGTAACACCTAAGGCTGGTGAATACCTTATACTAAGGAGAAAAGTGAGTAGTATACATAATGTCTAAAACAAACGTCAAACAGGACGAAAGTGGTGAACTCAACGGAGTATGATCATCCCATGATGGGTGCCTTGTTAAAACCTCGTTATGTAGCAAAAATCTAGTGGGAAAAATGCTCTTAATCGTAGGAAAAAGAGTACACTAAGATCAAGTGAGTATGCTTCAGGATACTCCCCCTGAGTTGGACATAACTTCCAAATAAGAAAACTACAAGCAATTCAACTCAGATAATTTACGCATATCGATTCCTTGGACGAGCTTCTAAAAAGTAGACTTGGGCAATGACTTGGTGAAGAGATCGGTCAAGTTGTCTTGGGAAGAGATTTGCTTGATTTCAATGTTCTGATGCTGTTGTTGCTGGGGAGTGGTGCTATATGCTTGGTGTTGTCTCCTTTGATGTATCCCTTCTTTAACTGCTCTGTATTGTCTTCAAAGATCGTCGTAGGAAGGTCAACGATGGAAGTAAGACCACTAGTGCTTTGAATATGTTCCATGACTGCTCTCAACCAAAAGCACTCACGCGATGCTTCATGCAGGGCGAGAATGTCAACATGGTTCGAAGAAGTCACAACTAGCGTTTGCTTGGTAGACCTCCAAGATATAGCGGTGTCTCCAACAGTAAAGACATAACCCGTTTGAGAACATGCCCTATGTGGATCAGATAGATAACCATCATCTGTGTAACCAACGAGGCGAGAATCAACTTGAGGACCGAAGGAAAATATCTTTAACACCATTCCAGTATCTGCATGTAGGCACATTGTTGTATCTAGCCAAAAGTTTAACAGTGAATGAGATGTCGGGTCTAGTGCATTGAGCCAAGTACAATAAAAAACCAATTGCATATAGGTATGAAACTTTAGGCTCCAAAATCTCTTCCTCATCCTCCTTGGGACGGAAGGGATCTCATTTAGCATCTAGAGTCTAAACGACCATAGGAGTACTCGAAGGCTTCGCTTTATCCTCATTAAAATGTCGTAACACCTTTTGGGTGTAGTTCGATTGATGTACTAGGATTCCATCCGAACAATGCTCAATCTCCAAGCCGAGACAATATCGAGTTTTCCCAAGATCTATCATCTCAAATTTCGATTTCAAGTGAGTGGCAATTTCCTCAAGCTCTGCGGGAGTTTCAACGAGGTTCATGTCGTCGACATAAACTGCAACGATTGCAAATCCAGAATATGACTTCTTTATGAACATGCATGGGCATAATTCGTTGTTCACATAACCCTAATTTGTCAAATATTCACTCAGACGGTTATACCACATCCGCCCGGATTGTTTTAATCCGTAAAGTGATATTCTCAATCCAATCGAGAAAGTGTTTCGTGGTCTAGAACTATTTGAACCAGTCAATGGAAGTCCATCTGGAACTTTCATGTACATTTCCATATCTAAATCCCTGTAGAGATATGCGGTTACCACGTCCATAAGCTGCGTATTTAGTTTTTCAGAAACTACCAAACTAATAAGGTAGCGGAACGTTATGATGTCTATTATGAAGGAATACGTCTCCTCGTAATCAATCCTAGGGCGTTGAGAGAAGCCTTGCGCTACGAGGCATGCTTTGTATCACACTATTTCATTAAGGCATGCTTTGTATCGCACTATTTCATTCTTCTCATTATGCTTCCTCACAAAAACCCACTTGTAGCCCACAGGCTTCACATGTGATAGAGTAGGAGCTATTGGCCCAAACACCTTGCGTTTCACGAGCGAATCGAGTTTGACTTAGATTGCTTGTTTCTAGTTTGACTAATCTATTCTACATCGACATTCATCAATGAAACATGGTTCAATGTCATCGCTACGCATGATGTCGAAAGCAATGGTATACGCGAATGCATAATGGACAATCATCTCATTTTGATTCCAAACCTTATCTAATACCGCATAATGGACCAAAATCTTGTTATTTTGGGGAGGCCATTATGTCTCATCTAAGACATCGCCGTAATTTAGAATAACCTCATGTGTTGGAACATATGAGTAAGCAATGGTCGGATTCAGACTAAGGTCACTAGTTTGTGCCATTTTCCTCTTCCAAGGTTATGAATCCTTTGAACCAGGGGGCCTACCACGCTTCAGGGTAGGAGCAAATGATTAGCTAGCCGCCAATATACCAGGCCGCATGGGAGATGCGGCCGCCCCACCCTTGGGGACAGTTCGGCCTTCCAAGGTGGTATTATGACGTACTTTAAGTACGTCCATCCTTGCAGGTGCGTTTGCAGCGGGTATATATAATCTTGTCGCCTTTGCTAGATCAGTAAAAGCATCCGGCATGTTTTGAGCGATGCTCTAAAGATCTAAAATACGTCGTACTTCAGTTTCAAACTGAGGGGTGCAAGGATCTAAATGAGACATAGTGGGAGTAATCCACGATAATTCGCAGCATTCTACAGGAACATTAGTGATCTTATCTCCCCTTAACGACGGGAAGACTATCTCATCAAAGTGACAATCTGCAAAACATGTGGTAAAGAGATCTCCTGTCAAGGGCTCTAAGTAGTGAATAATTGATGGTGAATCATAACCAACATAGATTCCCATTTTTCTCTGAAGACCCATTTTGGTACGTAGTGGCAACACTATTGGCACATAGACTACACACCCAAACACACATAAATGCAAGACGTCAGGCTCGTAAATAGTAACCAATTGTAATGGTGAATAAGGTTGGGTAGCGGTGGGCCTCAGGCAGACGAACATAGCTGCGTGCAATATTGCATGGCCCCAGGCTGATACTGGCAAATTGGTTCACATAACCAAAGTCCGAGCTATCGTTTGAAGGCACTTTATGAAAGCTTATGCCAAACCGTTTTGGGTGTGAACATGGGGTATAGGATGTTTCACTTCAATCCTAACAGACATGCAATAATCGTCAAAGGTCTGTGACGTAAATTCTCCAGCATTTCCAATCGAATTGGTTACTATTACAATTGGTGAGCCCTAAGCTTAATAATTTGTGCTAGGAGTTTCACAAATGCAGCATTGCGTGTAAACAATAAGCAGACATGTGACCATCGCGTCGATGCATCAACCAACACCATGAAATATCTAAATGGTCCATATGTTGGTTGGATATGTCCACAGATAACTCCTTGAATCCTCTGAAGAAACTTAGGGGGGTCATGAATAATCTTTGTAAGTGAGGGTTGAATGTTCAACTTCCCCAAAGAGCATGCTTTGCAAAGCGGATGGTCGGGATAAGATTTCAAGTGATGCTCATGTGATACTTTGAGGATACGGCGCATCATATCTCGTCTGGGGTGTCCCATTTGATCACGCCAAAGTAGGAAAGTGCTCTAGAACTCGGCCATAGGGTCAGCCATGTGATGGGTCTCAATTGCACAAATGGTTGTTATGTAGAACCCACTCGGGAGACGTTCCAGCTTTTTGTGAATACGCTTCTGGCCATATTCGTAAGAAGTGATACAAAGAAATTCAAAACCATTCTTTTTAGTGGTTTCAACATGATATTGATTATCTCGAATATCTTTAAAACTCAGCAACGTTTTTCCGAAACGTGGAGAATAGAGTGCTTCTTTAATGGTTAATTCAGTACCATTGGACAACATAATATGGGTGTTTATGTATCCTTCTATCTGGTTGGATGGGCTTGAGAGGGTTGTCAGAGGTGTATTTTTTGGTACAAAGTTAGTAAAATAGTGTTTCTCATGTAATATGATGTACATGGTGGCACTATCAATCAGACAACTAACTTCCCCACTAGTCATACTTAGAAATTAATTAATTGAATCGGCACATGCACATATAAAGGAAAACTAATGAAAAATACTTGAAAATTTTGAGTTTTAACGATAAGGACAAAATAAAGAGTAAAGTGAATAGTACCAGAATTGATTTTTTAGTGGGAAAATGCAGTTTTTCTTTAAAGTGAACAGTACCGGGAGCTTTTCGTTAAAGTTCCCTAAATATAATTCCATTCATTCAATTAATGAATTCGAGAAATAATATCCATAAAATAATTATCCATCATTCAAAACAAACCAAAACCAAACAAATAATTCCAAAGAACTTAGAAAAGTTGTCCGAAAATTAAACCATAGCCCTAAATTTTTTTTTTGAGGGGGGTGTTCGGCCACTAGGGATGTAAAACGTCCTAACATGTCTTAGAAAGATAAAACTTTATTCTTCCATGGGAGTAGATGCCTTCTGAAAATCTGAAACCTCCAGAGTTGTAGTAGTATATTCGGGAAGTTTTACAAGCGCAAAGTTAAACTCATGA